TGAACGGATCCCTCTCATCTCCATTTCGAATTCTCTAATATAGTCTCGAGCACAGCTTTTGTGAGATTAATGGATGTTGCATATCAGGAGATGATATCTTTATAAACATCAATAGCCTTTTTGAATGGAAGGTAATTCTAGAGCTCAAGGAGTTTGGGAGATTCATAAATTGGTCTATCAATTTCTTTATAGATCCTACATAGATTATTTAATCCCTTCTGCTCACATGGGCTACCAATGGATATCCTAGTTCAGAAAAGATTTCAACTTCTTATGCCTTTATTCACTTGTTTTGATTCTTTCCTTATACTCTAAACCTTATAAACTAAAATAACAAAGGAATTAAAATCTAACTATACCAGCTATCCCACCCGATAGCCATCAAGGTTTTATCGTTCAGATATTGTTTGTCAATTTGACCAGTAAAGAATCGTACTGAGTACTATTTAAGTTACCTAATGAGAGAAATGACGATTTTCTAAAGTTAAAAAAGAAAAAAGAAAAGAAGAAGTTTTGAAATCAAAAGTCCACATCTGATTATTGACAACACCAAATTTCCTAAAGAACTCAACAAAGCCTCTTTAAAATATTTCTTGATAAATGGTTAAATCACAATTTTGATATGTCAAATAGTGTACTTACTACTGTTGTTTATGCTCCCAAATAATTGCATAAAAAGAAAAAGGAAAATGAGGCCTGAAAGAAAACCTGACTCCAAGATGGTGTGGGCAGCATGGAATGGAATCCTTGCAAAGACATCAGTTCCTGGGAACATCATCCAAGTGCGCTCATTTGAGTCATGGTTGCCGCATGTGGGGCATACCTCCTTCACCAAAGGTCTTGATTCAGGTCCCGCAATCTCCTTCATTATCGACTCAAAAGGAGATGGAACACTAGTCTTGGTTGTCCGAGCTATCTTCCTCAGAGATGTAAGTGCTTCTCTATTCCCATTCCTCACCCTGTCATTTTCAACCAGCTGCACTTTCGCCATAACAAAATAATCCCTTCAATGTCTTACTAACAAGACCCAATAAAATACATTAGTTTATAATAAACTTGAATTTGTTCAAAAATAAAGCCACTTAACTGTACTGGGATGGATCAATTAACAAAACCCAATTAAACATATTAGTTATTAAGGAACCAAAAGGGAATTTTCGAATAACTAAGCCAAATAACCATGATGGAATAGATTAATTTGTCTTGCCAGTTATATACAATATACAGTATCTAAAACATAATCATGTGGTTCCAGTCTTTTAAACCAATCAATTTGTTATTGAAACATTATGTACTATCATCTTTGAGTTTAAACTTGTTTGCAAAAAGAAAAAAGAATCTCTGAGCTTAAACTTTCCAACTTCTCAGGTTCTTCTCGAAGAATAAAAACACAATTACCTGGTGTCGGGCTAAAAGGAGATGCTCGGCTTCAGTCTCAAGCTCAATTAAGCTTTGCATGGTCTCATCCATTCTTGAATACTCAATCAGACTACCTACCTAATTGTGCAGCTGAAACATAATTGAAATTAGCTACAATTTACTAGATGGCTCTGCTTAAATTCTGAATGAAAACCAACCCAAATAGGATAAGAAAATAGAACAGTTAGTCAGAAAAAGAAAATTATAATAAAAATTGTGCCTCAACTTAAAGATTCAGTCATCCCAAGAACAAAGTAATCTCAACACAGCATATCAGCATTTAAAACCCCACCTTCTCACCACGAGCAAAGGTGATAGTACACAAAGAAAAACAAACGGTCAAGGAGAAGTATAAGAAAAATCTCATCAATTTCCCTAGAAAATTGGATATTTGAAAAAGAACCCATCAGATTTTTTTGCTTAGACAGAACCATGTTCTGAAAGCATAAAAGAAAAGAAAACGACAAATAATAGGAAGGAGAAACACAGACAAACGAACGGGCCAACAAAGTATGAAATCGAAAAGCATCCAAGTGAAAATTACATAGATATATATATGCAGGCTGAGAAATGTGGACAATTCAGTACTCAACAACAATGCAGATTACGCAAGCTTATCATTTATCACGTTAATTACACAAAACATTTAAACCACAATCACATGCAGAAACCCCTTCAATCCAGAAAACCCAGATAACCTATGCAAATCTATTATCTATGAAACACACAAACTAAGCCTAACCACATAATTAATCACAACAGCAGCAAAATAAGTATAATAATAAAAAATCAAATTGTTTCAAATTTGAAAGTGTGATCATAGACAATTAGTACAAAAATGGAACAAAAAATCCAAGTTAAAAAATTACCTCGTCCGTTGCAGACTGCAGTTGGTGAGCCTGGTCCACCGTCGACGTCCGAGGTTTTGAGAGATAGACAGAGTCTGAGAGTCTGAGAGATAAGAGATGATAGTTTGGAATAGGGTTTGAGTTCGAGAAATAGAGACAGACACGATAGAGGCTGAGAAGAGTTAGAGAGAGAGAGAGAGAGAGAGAGACTCGATGGCGGTCTGAGATCAGGGATGACACTGGGAGGGTGGCGACGGAATGTCAGAGGCCAGAGCTTAGCCGAGGCGGCGACAGAAAGAAAAGGATTGGGCTTTTAGGGCTTAAAATTTGGGTGGGCTAAATATCAACATAGAAGTAGCCCATTATATTCAAAACTCAAATGGGTTATGGAAGAAATAAAGCAAAAAAGAGGAAAAAAATCTTTCCGGAATAAGAATATTGGGTTTATGTTACTAGAAGAGTTCACAAGTTCTACGCGGTAGTGGCTTCAAGTAGAATTTCGAAAGAAAAAGATGCAGAGGTTCAAGGCAGCTTCATTGGTAAGAAACGGCCTTCACAATTGCCGTTTGCTTAGCCATTGCAGAGGCCTCTGCTCTCTCCCAGACCATGCTCTCAACGATGATCTTGGCCACCAAGTGAGATTTTGTCGATTACCCATTTCTTTATTCTTTCTATTTAAGCTCAGACATGTGAAACGCAAGCTCTCTGAGAGTCTCAGGTATTGGTTGAAGGCAAAGCTTGGTCCAGGACAGCGATTCTCAACAGACCTTCAGCGCTCAATGCTCTCACGACTGCAATGGTGTGTTTTTATCTTTTAAAGCAATCAATTTTTTTTTTTTTTAGACCCTTAATTCTATTTAAGGTTTCGTTTGGAACCCATTTCTAAGAACTCCCGTAATGAGTATACAGGGGGCTAGATTGCAGAAACTGTACAAAAGCTGGGAAGATAATCCTGATATTGGTTTTATTGTAATGAAGGTGATTGTTTTTCTTGTTCATAAATTTTGGTCCAATGCTTATGCTGATATTGCTTAGTTGCGATTACTCAGGTGGCAGCTGACAAATTGTTTTGAATTTTTGAAGGGCAGTGGCAAGGCATTTTGTGCTGGTGGAGATGTAGTTTATCTTTATCATATGATAAACAAAGGTGGACACCCTTCTGATTTGCTATCAAACAATTTTATAAGTTGTAGACATATATTTATGGCTTACATACTTTTATTTGATTTCAAATTTGATGAAGTTAGCATTATGTAGCCAGTTGAAAGGGGTGCAAAGTAGATTTCTCTTTTATGGCTCAGTTGGTTTCTTTTTCTGCTTAATATCAGACAAATGTGTTAACAGTCCTGTAAATTTGCCTTACAATGTGCAGGGAAAATAGAAGAATGTAAACAATTTTTTAGTACACTATATGCATTTATGTATATGGTTGGTACATGTTTGAAGCCACATGTAAGTTCATCATTATTGAGTCATTCTCGGGCAAACAAGCATTTTAGGTTCCTAATCTTGCAGCGCTTCTTAATTTTCTTCTCATTTTTAAGTTCATGATTAATCTCCATGCAGGTGGCTATCTTGAATGGCATTACCATGGGTGGTGGTGCTGGGGTCTCAATACCCGGGACATTCCGCATTGCAACTGATAAAACTGTATGTAACAAGCATACTTGTACACATTACTTTTCTCTATTGTAGATGTTTGTTGGCTTGGTGATTGGTCCATATTTCATTGTTCTTTGTTCTCTTTTTCATGAGGATTCCCATCAACTATTTTGCAAAATCCTCCCACTGTTAATTGTATTACACTCAAGCATTTATAATTTTATATGACTAACTGCTTGTGACTTGAGCATGTTTAAAGGAATAAAACTAGTTCTTAATATATGAAAAGAACTGAAACATGTCGAGGTGTTTTGGGACTTGTGTAATGCAGCAAAAATGTCAAGTTATTTTAGGAAGTCTAACCAGTATAGAATATGTCTTGTGTCCCTTGCCCTTTGAAGAATTTAGCGTACAAGCTACAGACGGGTGTTTCTGGTGCAGTAGTAATTATTATCTTTACTAAATAAATAAATGTGTTTCACAGCCTGGTTAGGGGTTTATGCTATAGGGGACTGTTTAAGCATCTGATCCCTTTCTCTAACGTCTGTATCTTGTGCACCCACTTTGGCATGACATCTATATGTCAGTTTGCACGTGAATCTGGTTTGGACACTTAAAACTAGCTCACCTTTATATAGTAAAATAGTAAAATGACATACAAAAGGACAAGTGACTTGTGTATCTCATGTGTAATTTCTGCTTCTAACTATGTCGCTCATTTGCTTCCCCTCCCACACCACCCCGCTCCTATGTGGAATTGAAACCAACTGAAACTGTGGAATTAATATATTCAGCTGAATCAGTGCAATGCATTGTACTTCCAAAAAGACATCATATATGTTCATATTTCTGCAAATCATTTATGTGGAATCAACCTATCCATTTGGGGAAAAAAGGTTTTGGCTTGCTCAATATTATATTTGAGCGTGCAATTTTTAACTGTAGCAGTAGGATCTTCCTTTATTCACCATAGAGAAAGGAGTCAGACAAGAATTTGATATTACTTCTTCGTCTTTTAATCAAATGATCAAGCTGTTTCCTCTTTACATCGATGTGCTGGTAGAAGCTGCTGTTATAGGGTATCCTTGCAATTTGCAGGTATTTGCTACCCCTGAAACTCTAATTGGTTTCCATCCCGATGCTGGGGCATCCTTTTACCTGTCACATCTACCGGGTCACTTAGGTATGCTTGCTTGGTTTTTCATGCATGTAACTTGGCTTTTAGATTATTCATTTGTAGTACAAGTTCAAAAACAGAAAAGATAAGGTTGCAGATTTTCCTTTTTCCTCCAGACTGATGGAGGATATGTATTTTAACAAGAGAAATGATGGGAATTATATTAAATGCGGACAATTGCTCAGGAGATTCCCAAAGGGTTTGAAATCCATGCTGCCCTCGTGTGAAAGTGACTCAATTTGTCTTCCTTCTTCTCCTGAAGTTGAGGAAGCATCTGGGAGTTATT